TGTTGGGAGGACCCTCAAAGTAGTTTTAATCTACTGTACTAATTTCCAGATCTACTAATGGTCCTTAAACCAGTTTGGGAGCCGGGCGGTGGTGGCGCACGCCTTTAACCCCAGCACTCGGGAGGCAGAGCCAGGCGGATCTCTGTGAGTTCGAGGCCAGCCTGGTCTCCAAAGCGAGTTCCAGGAAAAGGTGCAAAGCTACACAGAGAAACCCTGTCTCGAAACCGCCCCCCTCCCAAAAAAAAAAAAATCAAAAACCAACAGAGTATCTATATAGTATTCACCTGGTAATTTTCACAGGCATTTATAAACCATCCTATCAAAATGACAATTTCAGAGACTCTGTTGTGCTAGGAAAAAGCAAATGGCACAATTTGTCTCCTACTAACTTGCCCAAATGACACCAGTTAAGACAAAGTACATCTAAAGGATGCTGACACTTTAAAGATTGCTTTTAATAATCAAAGTGGAAAGTGACTGTGACATTTCCTCTTTCAGGCTAATCATTAACCTAAAACAGTGTTTATTTTCTTTTGTTAAATTTGTGCTCTACTTCAAAAAAAGCTGTGATGTACTTCAAGCTAGATGACAAGCAGGACAGGTTTGTTTGTTTTTTTTGTTTTTGTTTTTGTTTTTCTTTTTGGTTTTTCTGAGACAGGGTTTCTCTGTGTAGCTTTGGAGCCTTTCCTGAAACTCACTTTGTAGACCAGGCTAGCCTCGAACTCACAGAGATCTGCCTGCCTCTGCCTCCCAAGTGCTGGGAATAAAAGGCGTGTGCCACCACCGCCCGGCCAGGACAGGCTTCTCTGTCCCTCATGGAAAAAAAAAACAAAACCAAAGTGCTTTCCAAGCTGAGACAAATATTAAGAAAGCAACTTGAAAATTCCCTCTTGTTGTATTCCAATTTTACACAGCTAGGATTACCTATCATGGTAATCGTGAACAAGAAGCAACATAGCAGATCCATCATTAAACATGTAACCAAGCCAGGAAATGTGTCTGTAGTCTCAGCGATTCAGATGAGCCAAATATTTCCTGATCTCTGATCTCAAGGATACATGACTATATAGTAAGACAATCTCTTTTCGTTTTGGACTCACAATATAGATACTAAATATGGAGACAATGAAATAATGCCAACTTATACCTGGTCCAGATTCTTGCCCATAGCTGAGACCTGAAGTGTGCTTGGTCCGAACTCGTAAAGTCTGAGCCCTCTGCTGACGGGCCATATCGCAGGTCTGGTTTGGATGCCATATCTGCTTGCAGTGGTAGCAGAACTCAGTCTGGCAGCCTTCCCTCTCACAGGTTAGCTTCGGGCAGCTGGCACAGCCATAGGCAATAACAGCGTAACTGGGGAAGGAAGTAAGAAGAGATGATAGTCATATAAGACTGACCTGACAAAGACAGGCATTATTATCAGAGCCTCTACTGTTGGTACCACCATAAATGATACAAAGACCACAGACAGACAGATACCCCAAGTAGGTTAACTGTACTAATCTCCTTGTGAAAAAATATGTTACTTCCTGAAAACAGAAGGGCATGTACTCAGCCTGAATTCCAAGCATTTATTCAATCCATTTAAGCTACTTCAGGACCAGTTTACCACAGCCAGTTTCATAAAAAATAGGGTATACAACAATTTCTTTTTAATGGTTTGCTATATTTGGAGAAACCCGAATTTGTTTACATGAGAAGACAGAACAGTTGTAAAATAAAGAGCCACAGCAGAAACCAAAGCATGTATGTGCTTTCATTTTAAGATCCATAGTGGAGTTGACCTGATCACAGCTTCAAACAATAGCTCTCCATTGCCTCATAGTCATCTCCAGCTCTTGAAGGCTCATTTTTGGTTTTCATTCTTTTTTATTTTATGTGTATGAGGGTTTGACTGCATGTTATACATGTGCACCAAGTATGTGTCTGGTGTCTGCAGAGGCGAGAGGGGGCATTGGATCTCCTGAAATAGAAATTACAGATGGCTGTATGCCACCAATGAGGGTGCTGGGAACAGAACCTAGATCCTCTGCAAGACAACTGCTCTTAACTACTAAGTCATCCTTAAAGCCCTATGATTTATTTTTATTTAATTACATGTATGCTGCATGTGTGGGTGGGGGTATGTGCTCTGCAGTGCCCAGAGATGAGAAGAGACACTGGATTCTCAGCAGCTGGAATTCCAGGTAGTTATGAACTAGCTAACAAAGATGCAGGAAATAAATGTGGGTCCTGTGCAAGAGCAGAGCACGTTCTTAACTGTGGAGCCATCCCTTCAGCTCCTCATTTTCAGTATTCTTTTTTCTCTTTTTCCAGTTTAATTCTGTACTTTCTAATGTCTTCTTTTTCTTCTTTCCTTTCTTTCTTCTTTCTTTCTCCTCCCTCTTCCTCTTATCTTTTTAAAGACTTATTTTTATGTGTATGGGTGGTTTGTACACGTGTACCACATGCATGCCTGATGTTTGAGGCCAGCAGAGTGCATCAGATGTCCTGGGGCTGGAGTTATGGGCAGTTATGGGCTGCCATGTGGGTGCTGGAAATTGAACCTGGGTCCTCTAGAAGAGGAGCATATGCTCCTAACCAACCACTGAGCCAGCTCTCCAACTCCCTAATGTCTTCTTTCTTATCAGCTTCCAAAACCTTAATACTACTAACCTCTTTGCACCACAGCATAGTAACACCTTCCTTTCTCTCTGCTGACATACAGTTAAAGATACACTCTTTAGAATTTGCCAGTGTTAGCAGCAACCATTCTTATAATCCCTGTTTATCTGTTAAGAATTAGTTCCCCATAAATAATCCAATATATTTTAAACTACTGGTCTTTCTAATTAATTCTTAATAATGTCAAGGAAATGCTTAGCCCTTACAAGTGGACATTTGCTTAAAATAAAATTAAAGGGCTGCATGTAGCTCAGCAGAACATTCACCTAGTATATGTAAGGCCCTGAGTTTGATCCCAGGCACTGTAAAATTAATTAAATTTAAAAAGTAATTTAGAGAAACAAACACAGGTTTTTGTTGCTGTTGTTTTCGGTATTTTGAGACAGGGTTTCTCTGTAGTCCTGCACTGGAACTTGCTCTGTAGGCTGCTTGAGGCTGGTCTTGAACTCAGAGATCCGCCTGCTTCTGCCTCCTGAGTGTTGGGATTAAAGGTATATGCACCACCACCCCGCTGAAACAAACACAATTTTAAAAAAAGGATTTTTTTTTTTTTTTTTTTTTTTGGTTTTTCGAGACAGGGTTTCTCTGTGTAGCTTGGCGCCTTTCCTGGGACTCACTTGGTAGCCCAGGCTGGCCTCGAACTCACAGAAATCTGCCTGGCTCTGCCTCCCAAGTGCTGGGATTAAAGGCGTGCGCCCCCACTGCCCGGCTAGGATTTGTTTTATTTCTAATTATGTGTACATGTGTAGGCATGTGTACACAAAGCCAGGTGCCTGTGGAAGTCAGAGGTGTTAGATCCCTAGAGTTGGGAGTTGCAGGCAGGAGTGATCTACTGATATGGGTGCTGGGAATTGCACTCAGGTGCTCTAGAAGAACAGTCTCAGATTTTAACCATCTGAGATCTATACCAACTCACCAGCCCTCAAACAATGACTGCATGTTTACTGCCATTTGTACTTTGTCCTGTAGTTCACTTTTCTCCAACAGCCAAAGACCTCAAACAACTTATATTAATGCTAGTAAGCTTTTCCTGATTTATTTTATAGTTATGCAAGATGTTCATTATAGCAATTTAAATTCTCATGTTGATTTGAGAATTATGTTACAGATTTAAATGACAATGTACCTATCTCCTGTGACATAATAAGATTAATATTCTCAGAAAGAACAGTGAGACTAGGTCAATGTGTGAATACAATGATTCATATCCTGTAAGAGTTCTGAGCAAATTTACCCCAGCTAGCAGGACAAACAGATACTAAACAATGTGTCTTAGGAAAAAGTGACTTGCTTGCTATTTTGTGTTAAATGGAAAGGTACATAGTGAATTCCAAGATAGCCAGGGCTATACAGAGAAAGCCAAGGCTACACAGAGAAACCTTGTCTCAAAGAAAAAGAAAGTATCAGCTGCCATTTCCAACTCCACATTACCCTGTTTTTCTTTGTCTTGGCAGAGCTGCCATCTTTTCACCAGACAGTGAGCAGATAGTCCTCAAGGAATGACAGTTTTCAAGGAATGACAATAAAGCATTGCATACAGAGGCCACAGACTGGCACAGCCAACAATGGGGAGCCAATTTCAGGAGTGAATTTGGCCCCAAGAAAGTAAAATAACCCCCAATACAATGACTCTGTGGCAGTCTATCACCATGACACAGAGTTACTCGGGGCATGAGACTTGGAATTCTTGCTTTAGGTCACCTACTCTGTGCTGATTCATACTGCACGACATGGACGAACTCGCACATCTCCAAACTGTAGCTTCCAGTCCTCTAGTGGAGGCAGAGGCACCGGATGACTTCAAGTACAGCTCGACATTCTAACACTGCATTTATAACCTTGCACTGGGGTTGGAGGGATAGCTCGGCCGTTAAAGGCTAGACTCACAACCAAAAATATAACCTGGCACTGAAAGCGATGCCATACCACACTGGACTTCTGGCCTTTGCCTGATCTTTTCTTTCTGCCTAGCGATGTCTTTTCCTCTCTTCTTTCTGATAAATAGTCAGTCATTTAATAGCTAGCTCAAGCCAGGCATGGTGGCACACACCTTTTAACCCCAGCAGAGGCAGGTGGATCTTTGAGTTTGAGGCCAGCCTGGTCTACAGAGTGAGTTTCAGGACAGCCAGGGCTATACAGATAAACCTTGTCTCAAAAAAAAAAAAAAAAAGAACCAGCTCAAATGTCATTTTCTCTCTAAAATCTACTTCCCCTCTCCAGGCAGACGGTGGCCCATCTGTACAGTGAGGTTTTCACAGCCCATTATGTCGTCTACCTCTGCCACCACACAGCATACCTGTGGTGGGCACATGATAGTGACCCTCTTTTGCTTTGGCTCTTTAGCTTTCCCCAGGGCATTCTAGCTCCTCTTCTAGCCACTAGTAGCTAGCTACCTTTTCATCTTAACTATGCATGCTTGGCTTTTTATATATCATGCACTATAATTTACGTCTCCATTTTTATATAAATTCATCTTAAGGGTAAAGCTTCTAAATAAGGGAACCTCTCCCTAGCTGGAATAAAACTTCATTCATGACACTCAATTTACCCTAACCATAGTGTTCCTTTTCTTGTATGACCTATACTGGAGGGAGCTTCTCTTCTACTCTGCTGTTTAGTTTAACCAAGCATTCAAGTTTGCTAATTAGATGCTTAAAGTAGGGTATAAGAAATTATATGCTGCCTCAAGCACAGAATGTGCTCCTCCAAGTTCACACAACTTTTATGTTAAATCTTCAAAAATATCACAGTGTAGCAGGTTATCTTAATTTCAGCCCTGGAAAAAAATTATCCCATTAATATAAATTATATTACGCCTCAATGGATTACAATGGTTAAAGAAATATGTTCCCATATAATATTTGTCTGTACTTCCAGTCCTCAAGTCTTACAAATTAACAAGATTATCCATTTACAAATGGACCCTGAGGTTCTTTAAAGGAGAGAGACATGGGGTTAGGGAGAGCTCAGTGGTTAAGAGCACTTGTTGCTCTTGCCGAGGACCCTGGTTTGTCCCCAACACTCACATGGTAGTTCACAACCAAATGTAACTCCAGTTCTAGGGGATCTGATGCCCTCTTCTGACCTTCACAGGCACCAAGCATGCACTTGGTGAACATATATTCTTGCAGGTAAGACACCCATACACATAAAATAAATAAAAACAAAAGGGGATAGAAAAGCCACACCCCTACTATTTCCTTTTTCTTGTCCTATTTCATACCCACTCCTAAGCCAGACAACTGTAAAGGCCTCTGTATCTGGATTCCCTATTCCTTACCCCAAGTCATAGTTCATTCCAGGAGGTAATCTATCCTGGAGCTACTTTTTTTTCCCTTAAATTCTTTTAACAAAAAAGGAAAAAGAAACTGAAAATGAATAGCAAATGCCTGTAAACCTAGCACTCAGAACAAAGAGATAGGAGGATCGTGAATTTAAGATCAGTGTGAGACACAAACACATACGGTCATATCTAGAAGGGCAAGGGAGAAGAGGGCTGGAAGAAAGGGAGTGAGGCTCAGTGGTGGGGCACTTGTTTATAGCACATGTGAGGCCAGGGCTGTTACACAGAAATCCTGTCTTGAAAAGAAAAAAGAAAACCAAATAAATAAGAAAGTAATAGTAATGATAAAGATAAAAAAGTAAAAACAAACAAAAACCCAACCCCAAGCAACTTGGTTGGGGATTTA